ATCAATTTATAGTGAAGCTGCTGGCAAATGCTCTGAATTTCATAGGTCATATACATCACAAATTATGCCTGCTAATGAATTGTAACTGTGAACCTTACGTTTTTTTGTTTTTGTTTTTGTTTTTACTTTCTTTTGGGGGAAAAGATGCTCCATGGAAAACATGTCATGGTCCGTGTTGGTGGAGGCTGGGATACTCTTCAAGGATTTTTGCTTAAATATGATCCCTGTCGAATATTACAGTTTGCTACATTAGAACAAAAAATTCTAGCCTTTCAAAAAGGAGTTTCCAATGAAAGTGTACCTGACTCGTCCGCCAGAACACCTCAGCCTCCTGAAATGAATCCTTTGTCAGCTGTTAGCAAGTTTCAGAAACAAAAATCAAAACCTGGCACGCCAGTTGGTATTCCAAGGAGCAAAGAAAAGCAGGTACGTCCACCGGGTGCGTTGCTGCCTGCATCTTCCCTGAAAGGAGGGAATCTGGGCTCTGTGTTGGTCCGTTCCAAATTGCCAGATTCTCCGGCAGCGTCTTCTCATCTTAAGCTCAAATCTTCAAAAGGCATCGCAAAGAAACCACAGGCTCCTTCAAACAATGCAGTAGGTAAAAGCACTTCTTCACCCGCCTCATCAAGAACCGCACCTTGTGAATCTCAGTCAGGGAGAAAACGTATCTCATCACCCAGTACTCCCCAGGCCAAGCTTGTTACGTCCCAGAAGCCCAGAGATGTGCCTGAGTCTGCACTTTTGCCAAATAAGTCTTCTGGAAAAACTGAACCAAAGCATTTGAAACACATTCCTGTACCTTCCAGGGATACTGCAGAGTCTCACTCCGCGGCACATTCAAATTCATCATCAAAGCGTCCAAAGCCGCCTAAGGCAAATACACACGTAAGGCCTAAACCTTCCCCCTCTCTCCATTCCCCTGCAAAAATGACAAAATCCAGTTCCAAAACTATACCCGCAAGTCTAGGAACACGATCTCAGCCCTCGGATGGAGCCCCCCAAGCCAGGGCAGTGCCAGCACAGAAACTTAAGTCAGCCTTAAATGTAAACCAGCCACTCTCTGTATCCTCAGTTGTACCCACAAAAGTTGCACAGGAATCAAAAGATAAGAATATGGGTTCAGTTGCCAAAAAGCAGCCCCAGAATAAAAGTCCATCCCAGAAGATGGGACCCAGCTCCTCGAAGTCCCCTGGCCGTACCCCACTGTCCCTCGTGAGTCTTCCCCAGTCTTCTGTCAAGACACCACCTGTACCAAAGTCAGCACAGACTGCCACTAAGAGCCAGTATTCAGCTAAAGGGCCTCCAAAAAGTGGCAAAGCCCCGGCTTCAACCAGGAAACCACCCTCATCTGGTAAGGAAGCAGTTAGTGGAGATAAAAAACCTACCACAAAGAAAAAGGAAGATGATGACCATTATTTTGTTATGACTGGAAGTAAGAAACCTAGGAAATAAATACAAATGTGTCATTTTAAGAAAACGGGAAAGGAAGAGAGTGAATGTGTTAGCATTGCATCTTGAAAGTTTCTCCTGTTTGTGTTTGTCCGAATAGCTCAGACATTAGGCACAGTAAGGTGGGGGTTGGAGGTTGGGGATGGGGGTAAAGGGTGTATCAGAATTCACATTTCTGAATTTTCTAGAAGGTATCCTTTTGAGGTAGACAGTTGTAAACTTGCCATAAGGTTCTTATTAATAATAGACATTGATAGGATTTTCAATACATAGCATCTTTGTTAATGTCTGCCCTCTAAGGGAAGTGAGTTAAATAACACTACTAGAGTTACAACTATAATTGCTGTATTTTTGAATATGTATTAAATATGGAGGTTATATACTGGCTAATAGCAACCGTGGTGCTGTTAATATTAGTTATTGCATTTTGGTAAAATAGCAACGGTTTGGCACTTGTCTTACAAAAGGCACCTAATTTAATTTTTTGATCAGCATTATCTGATTGAACAATACTAAGTACCAGTGGCTGCTGCTGATTAGCTTGACATTGCTCTATGGTTGGTAGAATCCTGTTACTTAAAATTTTTAAGCTTTCCAAATCAGAAGGAACTGATTTTTTTGACTGGCTTATATTAACATTGGTAATATTTTATTATATTTTTGGTAAAAAAAAAACACAAGATACTGAAATATAAACTGAAATTTAGTAAAAAAAAAAAACCCAAGACTTTTTATATATTATTTATAAGAATCTACACCTTATATTTTAGATGGATGTTGTGCAATGTGAAAGGGGAAACTGATTTAGTAACTTTTTGCATATTACAAATATTTTTAATATAGTTTCCTCTGAGTGCAGATATGAATTTTTACATTTAAAATAATGTTTTAACATCAGAATTATGTGTTAACAATCTTAAAATTAAGGTGTTATTAAAGAATCTTATGTTGGTGCTATATAAAAATTCTATCACGTGATTGTTATTTTTCTTTAGATAGCACAATGCCAGTTTTAATTAGGTCCTTCCAATTACATTAATTTTCTTTAATAAAGTCATGCTGCTTTCAGTTTTTCAATGGCAAGTGGACAGGATATATGCAGCATTTTCTGCTCTTTAGGCAGATTCTCCAAGGAACATATCCACATCATGTAATGACTGCATAGGTTCCTTTGCTCTAAGATATTTGTAAATAATTTGTTTTTTAAGGGATTGTGGCTATTTAAAAAATTATTAATGTACTTTCAGAAGTTTTAAGGGTGTGTTTAATAACTTTATAGTATTATCAGTTATCATAGGTTATTATATTCAATATTGAGGTTTGTGTTTCCCTATTTTAAGCTACAATGTGTTTTCTAAAGAAAAATAATGGTTTACACAAATGTGCAATTATAAGATAAGCATCTTAAGCTGACTACTAACATTCTTTGGATTATAAAGCAAGAAAACTTTGTATAAAACGAAGTGATCTTTTGTCTGAGGAATACAGTTAAAATCAGAGATATATGCAGGCTAGTTTTTGGAATAATGGATACTTCTTAAAAGAGACAGTCTCTAAATATTTGGTTTAGTTCTGTTGCTCTGGGCATTGAGAGAATATTTACATTTTTGGAAAGTGAAATCAGTGTTCAAGAAGTGCTAGAAGCTTTGCATTTTTAGTGATCAGAAATATTTAATGCATCTTTCAAAGAGAAGAATTTAACTTTCAAGAAGGAGTTTATTCCCACATAAAATCAAACAGTACTTTGGTATTGGTAACTTCTAGAACTTAAAAAACAATGATATTCTAACCAACCTATGGAAATAAAGTAGATTTTACAATATTAAACAGTAACTTTTATATAGAGTAATCAGGAATAAAAGTATCCCATAGGCATCTGGCACAAATTCCAAGAATGTTTTGGAAAATTGGAAGTTAATTTGTAAATGACCCTATTCTTCATCAGTAGGGAATTTCTCCAATTGTATTGATGTTGAATGATCCCTTTCAAGATACGCTTGAAGCTTACCCTTTCAAGATAAAGATTTTCAAAAATAAACAACAGCCGAAAGATACTTTCTTCAAATATATTTTGAAATGCTCTTAAAGAGCTAGTGTTTCTAATCATTTTCACAGTTTTTAAAATACATTGTTGAAGCTGGAAAGACATTTTCATTTCTTCTAAGAGTGCAAGGTTTTAAAAGATTTTGCATGTTTCATATTTAACAAAATGAATTAAGCTTAAATTACTAAAGCACCTGGTGGAAAAAAATAACATGTATTTTCAGAAAAGAATGGAATGAGTTTTTATTTTTCTTTGCTAAAATTTGTGAACATGACTGGTATATCAAACTGATCTTCAGAGGAAAATGAAATGCTGGTTATTTTTAGATTGTTTGGGCTTACAGCGGGCATTTATGTCTTACGTCTTCAAAATATCTTGATGAATTAGGTGACCTCTAACTTTCCTCGCCACACGGAGTTTACACTTTTTAATGGATAAGGGAAATTTTTTGAGAAACAATTACTGTTCCTTCTGCAATCTATGAATCTCTACCTGATTTAAAAATCTGTTACTTCTTTAAAAGCCTTCAATAACAGGTTGTTTTGTTACATTTGTACATCCAGGTCCACATACTGACTCGATTGGAATCCAAATTTGTATATATTCTTTTCTTGTGCAGCAGTGTATGTATCAAATTTTAACTTCTATTTTCTCAAGTATTAAACATATGCATCAAATTCTCAGTGTGCTTTTTTTGTGTGTTGTGAATGCATTCTGATCACTCAGTTCATGTGAGAAATTGCATATATTAAGAACTCATAATTTGAGAATAGTTTTGATTTTGCTACTTAAACTGCCCTTTTCATACTTGTGGAATTCACATCACTGCTCCCAGGAGATTGTAAGATTCTGCCATTAAATAGCAGTATTTGTTCCCTAAGTTGCTGTATCTGTTAGAAGTTTGTCTCAGTAAGGCTCATATTTAATAATCACCAAGATAATGGAAATAATTTATCAGTTATTAAAGCACAGTTCTATAGCCTACACCAGTCTTGTGTTCATGGAAGTCTCCTGACAGTAGGAATTTCCAGTTCCTGCAATTCTGTCTTGATTTCACACTCAGTGAGAAGAGTCTTGAAATACTCATGTTTTTGTATATTCATGATCAGAGCAATTATAAAAAGCAGTTCCGTATGTATTCAATATGTATTTCCTGTGATGTTTTAAAAAAGAAAACAGGAAAACACCACCTAGGCCAAATTCTTATTATATTTTCCTCAATATTTGTGGGGAAAATTTGTGTATAAAGTTTTGACCTTAAATTCATGAGTTTATGAAATTTGGGGGAATATTAGGAAAACATTAAACAATTGCCAGTAAATATGAAAACACAAAGACAAATATTTTATTAAATTTAAGCTGTTTTCCTATGAATGTACTGTTTTGTTCTTATAGGAAAACACAAGACTTGATCTTGAAGAAATAATACATGCAAAAATTTAGTGATAAGTTAACTTTGGCACATAGTAATATTGGTATAACTATAAAATAGAATATAATATAGCCATTAAAAATGATGTAGACATTGATTTAACCTTTTTTTTTTTTTTAAGATTCTATTTATTTATTTGTCAGAGAGAGAGAGAGCACAAGCAGAGGGAGCAGCAGAGGGAGAAGCAGGCTCCTTGCCGAGCAAGCAGGGAGCCGGATTCGGAATTCCATCCCGGGACCCTGGGATCATGACCTAAGCCAAAGGCAGATGCTTAACTGACTGAGCCACCCAGGCATCCCTACATTGATTTACCTTAAAAGAAGTATGTATGGTGGTGAAGTGGTTTGTTTTGCGAGACTGCTGTGATAAAACATTAATATAGAGTATTTTCTTAATTTTTGGTGTTCAGCCAGGGATAGCATAATTCTTATTGCATGGGATGTGATATCTAGGTTAATATAATTAATCTCTTGTGGAGAGTCCCTTAGGGTTTCATGTAATACATTTTATTTAATATGACCAACTTTCTTAAATTACTTTTGGTAAATTATACTGGAATGAATGAATATAATAAATAGAATGGGTTAATGTTGGGTATGACTGTGGAGGACCTCTAGTGGTCAAATGTGATAGTGTTGATGCCCTTGTATCTACTCAGATCACCACTTATTGAAACCTACCGAGTTGTGGAGATAGAACGAAGAATACAGCAGTTCTCAGATTCAGGAGCCTTGGGTTTACAAAGCACTTTGCAACTCACAGAATGCTTAATTACGTTAATAGCTAATCTTCCGAGCAATCCCATATTAGTATTATTATCTTCATGAGAATATTATTAGCACCATACAGACAGGAATTGTGTCTGTTTTGTTTACCACTGTGTTCCCAAAGCCTAAACCAGTGCCTGGCACATAGTAGGCATTCAGTATATGTTTGTTAATAAATTCACGAGTGAACTCTCTTTTCATAGATGAGGAAAACTAAGGCTCAAGAAAACTGAAAGTAAATATAAAAATACCTACTAAGATTGATTGGCCGAACTTAAAGGATAAATTTATTTTTACCTATTTACACTTCTCTACAAATTTGATTTGTTCTTTATGTTAATATGATAAAGAAAGTAGGACTTAGGTGGCATCTTTTTAAAAATCCACCGAAATATAACATCCTGCTTTTTTTTTTTTCTTCTGAGAAAAGTTTTCTTGATTTACTTGTTTTGGGATTACTCTTTAAGTATTCTAAGCTTGAATAGATTTAGAGATTAGTGTATTTTTATGTCTTTAGTTTAATATTTATAAAGCTATTAACTATGTTCAAAGCATTGGATGTACAACGATGTGATGAAGTAGAGGTGCTCTGCAAATGTTTGCTGGGTGAATGAATAAAAGAAAAATAAGTTAAATGTACTACAAAATACTAAAATTAGCAATTAAAATCAAATTCCTGACAGTGCAGTGGGGATAGATATTGGTAAAAATACCAAGTTGTAGATGGCCCTAGAACCTCCATTAAAAAAAAAAAACCAAACTTGAAAATAAGTGATTGTCCTCTGAATGAACAGGTTTCGTATGCTTCTTCCAAAATGAATAAATAGATCTCTCTTACGCAGCCCTGCAAATGTGATACAAAGTTGCATCATGTAGATCTCTCCAATAATTCATTGCCCTGTGCTGGGTGCTTTGGAACCCAATAAGTAGCTGTGGGAGAACAGGCCAACCTGTGGTGTTCATTGGAAGAGGAGGGGAACGTGACATACTAAATTTTAATCCCAAGCACTGAGGTAAAATGAAGGCAAGTGCCTTTCTTTCTTTCTTTCTTTCTTTCTTTCTTTCTTTCTTTCTTTCTTTCTTTCTTTCTTTCTTTCTTTCTTTCTTTCTTTCTTTCTTTCTTTCTTTCTTTCTTTAATTCCAGTGTAGTTAACAAAGTGTTATATTTGCTTCAGGTGTGCAATATGGTGATTCAACAATTCTATACATTACTCAGTGCTCATCGAGGTAAGTGTACTCTTAGTCCCCTTCACGTAACCCCCCCCAACTCACCTCCCCTCTGGTAACCATCTGTTTATTCCTTATAGTTAAAAGTCTGATTTTTGGTTTGTCTCTTTTTTTCCCTTTGTTTGTTTTTACATTCCACAAATGAGTGAAATCATGTGGTATTGTCTTTCTCCAAATGACTTACTTCACTTAGTATTATACTCTCTAGATCTACCCACATCATTGCAAATGACAAGATTTCATTCTTTTTTATGGCTGAGTAGTATTCCAGTGTGTGTGTGTATCACATCTTCTTTATCCATTCATCCATCAGTGGACACTTGGACTACCTCCATAATTTGGCTACTGTAAATAATGCTGCAGTAAACGTAGGGGTGCATGTATCCCTTTGAATTCGTTTGGGTAAATACTCAGTAGTGTGATTAGGGGATCACAGGATAGTTCTATTTTTTTTAAAAAAAGATTTTATTTGTTTGACAGAGAGAGACACAGCGAGAGAGGGAACACAAGTAGGGGGAGTGCGAGAGGGAGAAGCAGGCTTCCCGTGGAGCAGGGAGCCCGATGTGGGGCTCAATCCCAGGACCCTGGGATCATGACCTGAGCCGAAGGCAGACGCTTAACGACTGAGCCACCCAGGCACCCCAGGATAGTTCTATTTTTAATTTTTTGAGGCCCCTCCATACTGTTTTCCCCAGTGGCTGCACCAGTTTGCATCCCCACCAACGACGCACCAGAGCTCTTATTTCTCTACATCCTTGGAAGGCAAGTGCCTTTAAACAGCAAAATGCAGTAGCTTCCATTTACCGTAGGCATCAGCAAAAATGTTTTTGAAGTCCATGAAGTCCCAAGTCTCCTTAGAGGTTAAAAAAAGTCAATAACTCCTGAAAATTACAGCCTTTGAGATCAGAGCAAGTTAAGAAGGGAGCAGAGTTTGGTGTCTTCAGAGAGGGGAGATGCTATTCCTTTGACTATCCACTCCTTCCCTCAACCCAGCCCCTCACCTGGCTCACAGTTAACCTTCATATCACAGCGTAAGCATCACTCACTCAGAAACCCAGACCCTCCAAGCCTGAGTTGGATGCCTCCAGCGTACTTTCTTCCCAACTCACATTTTTCCTGTCATTACATTGCACCAAACACCGATCTGCTTACTTATCTAAATCTCTGACCAAACCTAGGATGGGAACTCCATGTCTCACTTGTTCATAGTTGCATCTCCTGCATTTAGTGCCTGTATTTAATGCCTAAATGCTTGTGGAAGGAGGGAAGGAGGGAAGGAAGGAAGGAAATACCCTTTTACTGAGGGAAATAAGCATCAGTGTGTGTAAAGGGAACCTCTGGCTTAATGTTGTGGACCCACCTACTGTGAAAGGAGTGTCTTCCAGAGAAAATGTCAGGGTAGAGTTTGAAGAAGTCTGCAGACATGACCTGCTCATTTTGGGAGAGGAGAGGGGAAGAGGGCAATAATAAGGGGCCTTGAAGTTATGGATTTCTCTCTTTACATTAACAACAGATTGCTACAGTTTCACAGAAGAAAAATGTTAGAAACTTCCCAACTTACTAGACAGGCTTTTGTTTAAAAATGCATATTTTCAGGGATGTGAGAGAACAGTCAGAGTGTAACAGAGATTAACAAGGGTCCTGCTGCTAACTACTTCAGTCCTCACACTGAACGGATGGGGAAACTCAGGCCTGGGAGTTTGTTGTTGGTTGAGCCCGTTATCTGCACAATTAAAGCCAAGCTCTGAGCAGCAGAGTGAAGTCAAAATGGCAGAGGTAGTTGTCCCTCGGGTCTATGAATTATAGTTCAATGGTCCCAGATGCATGGGTCCAGCCCAGCAGATTCCTTGTATTACCTGTAACTGTGATTTTTTTTCTAAAGCAATCTACGCAACCACAATGCAGCAAAACACTCATTCGTTCATTTGTTCAGTGAGCAAACGGTTTTTCTGAGTGCTGACTCTGTGCCAGACATTAAGCTATATGCTGGGGACACAGTGACAAGACTGGCCACTGCTTTTCAGGAGATGACAATCTTCATTCAAGTGGCTTAAAAAAAAGTGTGATTTTTTTTATTTTAATTTTTTTTTTTTTTTACTATAGTTCACCCAATTCTTTCCTTGTGATTTATTTTACCCATGGGATAAAATACCTTGATGGGATGTACCTGAGCCTCAAGAACAAGGGTCATTCACCATCAATTGTTACTCAGAAAATAGAGCAGTAAGAATCAAGTCTAAACAAGGGATTGGAAACAGAAAGGGACCTGAGCTTTTTCTGGGTAAGCCATTACTTAAAATCAAGAAACACACTTCTTTAACACAAGGCTGCTTCTCTTCTATAGTATTTATAGGAAATACTATAGAGTATTTCCTGTGCTTGATTCTTCCTACCCCCTCCACTAAGCTCCACCTCAGTCTTAAGTGCTCCACAGAACCGAGATGAGCTCTCCACGCGGCTGCATGGAGAAGGTTGGTCACCCTCCAGCTGCCTGTCTCATGTCCGGGGAGTGCAGTTCTGAGATGCTTCCTGGGTTTGGACATCTCAGTGCCTTGCCCTAGCAGATGAGAGAGGAAACCTGCTCTTGCTGTATATCACAGAACAATACCTTCTGAGCTTTTGCTGCATCTTCCCCACTGGCCTATAGCTCCACAGGACCCAGTGGCATCCTGGGAAGACCTGGTGTGTTGGCCGCATAACCAGGAAACCTGCACTGTGGTATGCTGGTGTGCACAGGAATAACACAGCCCTTGACCCTCCCCCAGAGCCAAGACCAACCAACTCTACCCTTTCTTACATATTCAGTTTCTTTTGCCAGTTTCCCCCCTAATCTTGCAAACATACTATGATCTCTGATTATGCTTTTTCTACCCATTCCCTCATCCCCAAGTGGCAACCATGTGTTGGTCAGGATGAGCTGGGCTTTGCTGATGAAACAATAAAACACTCTTCTTGGCTTTTAGCAACAAAGGTTACTTCTCACTCAAGCTAGATGTCCATCCAGGTCATCTGGGGCTCTGTTCACCGTAGTTGCTCAGAGACCCAGGCTGATGGAAGCCTCATCTTGACAAACCCTTCAATTTTATTTTATTTTATTTTTTAGAGAGGGAGAGAGGAAGAGAAGGGAGGAGGGGCAGAGGGAGAGGGAAAGGAAGAATCTCAAGCAGGCTCCAAGCCCAGCAAGTAGCCGGACGTGGGGCTCAATCTTACAACCCTGCGATCATGATCTAAGCCCAAATCAAGAGTTGGACGCTTCACCGACTGAGCCACCCACGTGCCCCTTGACAAACACTTCAGCAATTACTGTAGAGGGAAAAGGGGGTGTGGGAATGGCCAGCCCCTCCCTTCTGAAACTCGTCCTTGGTTCTCCTGACATGATTCTGAGTTTTCTCACAATTCTCTGATTCCTCCCTCATCAGTCCAGTTTTCTGACTCATGTTCCCTCTTTGCCCTTTTCATGTAGCTGCTCCCTAAGGAACATTCCTTGGCCCTCTCCTAACACATATGTTCTCTCTTGGCAACTTCTTCCAAACTGTGCTTTCCAGTACCATCTCCGTGTGAATGATTTCCAGATCTGTATTCCCAGCCCTATTTCCCCGAGGCCCAGTTCCATTGTCAGCAGCCACCAGCCTCCTCCCATTACTGCCTTAAAATCTCTTGTCTGAAAAGGAACTTTCTGTCTCCACCAAATCTACTCTTCCTCCCAACTCCCATCTTTCTGTTGACACCTCTTCCTTTCCCCACATTGAAACTTTCCAGTATTTTAGAGTGTGTCTAAAATCCATCCCCTGCCTTCTATTACTGCCCAAGTTCCTGCACCTCTCTCCCAGAGGACAGAAATTCTTTGGCTATATTTTCAGCTTCTCTCCATGGCTCAAGGCTGCACATGGTACAACTCCAGGGAACACCATTCTAGGTGAATGGCACCCCCTGGAGTTGTGCAATGCAGTGGTTCTACAGGCCACACTGTGCCCATAGTAATCTGCCTACAGCTCAGCTTAAATCATGACATACCACTGTTCAAAACCCTTCCTTGGCTTCCCATTTCAACCTGAATGCCTTGGCTCCATCCCCCCTCCCCACCCCGCACAGGTCATGATGGAAGTCACTCTCCCACTTCTGAAGTCACATCTTTCCTACACCAAGTAGTATTTTCTACCCTGCATCCTAGTGATTTAAGAATAGTTCTTCTCTCATGCACTTGATAAGTGAGAAGTTATTCTTACTTAGGGATTAAATTAAGAAATACTATTTGCTCCTTATGGTGAAAAATAAAAACCCCAAGTCATAATGGCTTAAGTTTTGTTTTGTTTTGTTTTTTAAAGATTTTATTTATTTATTTGACAGAAAGAGACATAGTGAGAGCAGGAACACAAGCAGGGGGAATGGGAGAGGGAGAAGCAGGCTTCCCGCCGAGCAGGGAGCCCGATGTGGGACTTGATCCCAGGACCCTGGGATCATGACCTGAGCCGAAGGCAGACGCTTAACGACTGAGCCACCCAGGTGCCCCAAAATGGCTTAAGTTTTAAAAGAGAATCCATTGGCTCACATAAATGAGAATTGCAGGTTACATCCTACTGCTTCAGGCATAGCTGAATGCAGGGCTCAAGTGAGATCCTTGGGATTCCTTCCCTCTCTTTACCCCCAGAAAGTGGAAATCACAGCAGGCCTGTCTGGCGGTAGCTGGAGCCAAGGAGGAGATGCTGCTACTACTCGAGACAAGAAACACTCCAGCTTCTTCCTTTCCCTGTCCACTGGTGGTCCACTGGTGCCTCCATTTGGCTGACCCTGGGGTCCGGGAAACACAGCCTGTAGGGCTCAGAGGGAAGCAGAGGAAGGGAAAAGGGTGTGTCTAAGACCAAACAGGCGGACCACCAGCACAAGTAACTCACTCAAAGTCATACAACAGTAGGTGGTGGAGCCTGTCTTGAACCATAGCTGAAGCTCTGAATCCTGCTACCCTCTCCTGCAGCCAGCATGAAAGGGCATTCCAGTTGGAGCATCTGTGTGAGCAAAGGCACAGGCGGGAAATTCTAGAACATGTATGGAAATAGCAGAGAGTTCCCTTGGGCTGCAATGCAAGGTGCTTTCAGAGGAACAGTGGGGGAAGAGGATGCCCACTGTAAAGCGTTGAGGCCTGGCTCAAGAACTTGGTCTTTGTTTGGAAGCAAAAGGGAAGTTACTGAAGGAAAAGAAAGAGTTAAGATAATTTATTTATTTACAGCTATAAAAATGTCAGAAACAGGAAGGAAATGGTTGGACTCTTTTCAAACAAGAACAAGGTACAAAGTGAAACAATCTTCAAGAGTAAAGATTACAGATATAGTAGAGTTGCTTTTTTCCTAATTTTTGTATGGTTGCCATCTTTGCTACTTATAAGAGAAATTAGGAATGAGCAGTCGTTCATTCAAGTGAGGACCTGCTGTGAGCTGGGCCTTGTGCTGGGGTTTTTCAGTATGCCAACCGGAGTCCTTTGTTGGGCAATTCTAGTATCTCCCTTCTGAAGTTGCAGGAGTGCCCTCCATGTAATGACATTTGGTCTGAAAAGAGATCTGTGGTCGTCCAGAAAGTACATAAAAATGGTTGTTCACTTTGTACTCCTTTATGGTTTTAAATCTCAAGGTCATAGGCTCTGGCTGGCTTTGAAGTTAAATGGCTTGAGCTCATTTGCAATGATATTGGCAGACTGTGAATAAATAAAGTGTGGACTGAAAAGGAAAATGCCTCTTGGGAGAGGGAGATTGTGCATTTTTGTGGGGTGAGTTTGAGTTAGTCATTAAGCCCCTTGACATTTCCATTTCTTTAATCACAAACTGAAGATACTTGCTATTTAATAATAAGTTTATCATCGCCATCTTCAACAACACAGATGCACCACCTAAATGCCTGATTGTGAGCCACACAACATAAGGCATGTCACCAAGGGGACATCTTATCATATAAACTAAGTTTCTACAGATGGCTAGCTTTACCATTTTTAATCAACAGGCAATACGTAAAAAAGTATCAATCCCTAGGTGTTTGGAAAATTTAGTCCAATTCCCCTCCCATGACATAACACTTGCAATTCATCCATTCAATGTTTATTAAGTACTTTCTATCTTCCATGAATCCAACAAAGATTGATTAATTGTCTATATGCATTCATCCTTGGATAATGGTGAACAAAAGAGATATGGGTGGACTCTTCGTGGAGCTTGCATCTAATGGACGTAAGCTGTGTCCATGGTTTGGCCCCGATTGTGCTGTCAAAAAGCTCCCTCTTTAGCAGAGAAGACAAACTTATAACTGCAAACACAATGTGATGTGTATGAAGGTGTTCATTGGGAATGAGTGTCTACAGAAGGCTTCTCTAAGAAACTAATGCAGCAGCTGGAACTTGGAGGAAGAACAAGTTTCCAGATCCTCGGGGAAACATGTTTTGAGTACAAAGAGTGGCAGGATGCCCAATTATGGAAATGTGAAACATCATTCAGAGTTTGTAACGCAGAGCTCTGAGGGCATGGGAACAGGTGCACAAAGCTAGGTCATGCGGAACCTTGTGGACCATGTTTTAGAGCTTGGATTTTATTGTAAGGGGTATGGAGGCAGTTGATGGATGCGAAACAGCAGTGACATGATTGGGTTTGCCTTTTAGGGAAACCATCCACCAGCATTGTGACTCCAGAAGCTACTAAAGAGACAGGATTGAAGGAACTTGGCTCCTCCCTGGACGCAGGTGTGTATGTGGGGGGTGGGGCGGGGTGGAGAGTCTAGAAGTCTCCCAGGTGTCTGGCTTTTTGCAGCAGCCTTATTCAATCCCCAGGTTTCAGACTTTTCACACTAAACAACCAGACCTATCTGCCCTGAACAGATCTTTTGCCATGTTGCTTCTTTGCTCCAAAACTTTGTTTGAGTCAGTGTTTTTTACTCCAGAAATATGAACTTAAAAATTGCCTTCCGGGGCCTTTGTTGGTTCCCACTTTGAATCCCTCTGCTCACCTCTTTTCATGTTACACCACATTCCATTCCCTTCCACCTCAGTGCCTGGCGTTTTCCCCTGAGATCTTCAGTGCACCATCCTCCGAGGCTAGCTTAAGCTTCATCTCCTTCGTGCAGCCTTCTCTGGTCACTTTGTGCCTAACTGATCGCTGTCTCTTCATCTACTGCAGCTTGGGGTTAAGTACATGACACTAGAGTATGGTTTCACAAGGGCAAGGTTTTTTGTCTTTTTTGTTCACTGCTATATTCCCACACTTGGAACATGGTAGGTAGTTGACAAACATCTGTTGAGTGAATTAATGACTACTAAGGTTCTCCATAGATATTTAAGAAATATAACATGATCAAGAAATAGAACACTCAATGAATTTGATCATTCATTAAGTCAACAAGTATGCACTGAGTGATTACTATGTGACAAGCATTGTGATGGTTTCTGGGTATTCAAAACTTGATTGGACCTGGAGTATGTCCTCAAGTACAAAGTGAGAACAAAATCATTGTCCTACAGAATAAAAATCTGGTGAATATTTACATTTTAACATACCTAAAAATCAGTAGGGAACAATGCAGATTTTTTAAAAAGAAAACAAGAATCTTAGATCTCTTTGATTTCAATATTTTCAAAATAGGATAATAGCAAACTTTGGTAAAGCCTGGCAGCATTAGCACCCCTCAAACTTGGCTAGTGGGGAGGAAGATTGGTACAATCACTTCGGAGAGCAATTTTCTGGTTAACTAGTAAGGTGAAGGTATGCTTGCAAGACAGGCTAGCAGTTCTACCCCTACGTGGAAAAACTCAGACATGCGCATGGAGATACATACAATAATGCCACTTGCAACATGGTTTGAAGTGAACAGCCAGAAGCAACGAAAATGTCCCATCAACAGCAGAGTGGAGAAATAAATTGTGGTGTATCCAAGCAGCGGAATCTTCTGGAGCTGTGAAAATGAATGAACTTGAGCTATAATTATTCACATGACTCAATCTCACAAATATTATATTTAGCGTTTAAAAAACAAGTTGTAGAGTGATAAGGCAACATGATCCCATTTACATAAAGTTTAAACATGGAATATAATACATGATTTGTGAATTGATACATATGTAGAAAAAGTATAAAATAGGTCTGATAGGGTGACCAACCATCCTGGTTTGCCTGCAACTTTTACTGTTTTATTACTGAAAGTTGCATATTTTGGGACACTCCCCTACCCGCAGGCCCCCGGTTCCAGGCAAATCAAGACAATTGGTCACCTTACTTGAAAAAGAGAAACGTCAAGCTTAGAATGGTTACTTCTTGATGGAGAAAAGGAAATGGGATTGGGTAAAAGTACACTGGGTATAATTCAGCTGAATTTGTAATGTTCTCTTTTTTTTAAACCGGATTATGGGCATGCAGGTGTTTGTTATATTATTCTCCATTTGTATATCTGAAGTATTTCATAATTAAGAAAATTCCAAAAAATCTCCGTGGATGCTGTGGTAAATGCCACCCAGATTCACCCCTGCCTTTTGGGACTGGAGCACTCACTCTACCAGCTGCCCAGAGTGCTGGCAGGTTCACCATCTGACTCCCACTTGAGTTTTGAAGTTCCCCAATTTCCCAACTGCCTTTGTTTGCGTAGATCCACTTCAGCTATGGGGGCAGCCTGCAGTCAGTGGCTGACTGACACATGCGCAGAAGGGCTCATCCCTCTTTCCTTAATTTGGGACCTTTCTGAAGGACCGTCCAGGCTCTAGAGCTCCCTGTGGGATCAGCTGGGATGTCAGTTGTGACATCATCACAGTCCAACTACTACTTCTGCCCAATTGTGCTTCCTTCCCTTGCCCGTGCTGACCCGAGAGCACCGCCCAGTAAACATGATGCAATCAAATCTCCACCTCAGGGTCGATTTCCCTGGGGAACTTGACCTGCAATACTGTCCTTCCAGAAAAAGACGTAGATAGAAAAAGAGAGAGAGTGAGAGACTGAGATCACAATTAAACTGTAAATATAACCCCCGCCTCTATTTTTTTCTTTATCACCTCCCCACCCCTCCTTGTATCCCATTTTATTTTAAAATCTCAAGCCGACATGCTACACAGAATTTGAGGTGAGGCTAAAAAAAAGGAAAAAGAAACACTGATTAATTTTCAATGAACAATAATAAAATGATAAAATTTTTCTTTTTGATAGAGGGATTTTGTGGGTTAGAGAACATTCTGGCACATGATATTTTTGTTGTTGTTGTTGTTTTGTTTTTGTTTTGGGCTTTTTTTTTTTTTTGGCACATGGTTTTGTTGTTCCCACCAAATGAATCATTCAAGGAGGACAGGTACTTTTCCATCTGAGCAGAGTTGGGTCACTGCGAATAAAATAAAAGAGTCTAAAACAATATATAATGAATCACTAAAAAAAACCATTCACTAACTTGTGTAATGTGGATAATAAATACTCTTAGGATAGAGAGAAGAAAATCAGTGAGATAATGCACATTGTCGGTCTTAGAACACAGACACAGAATACAAGTAAATGAGAAAAAGAAAGAGCATCTCAAAGCAGTCCTCTCTATAAGCTTAACAGTTCTTAAAGAAAGGTCAATCGTTTGATCTTGGACCACAACCTAAAAACTGCCAAGAGCACAGTCTACCTCATCTGTCAACACCGTCCCCCCCAGTCCTGGCCCCCATAATCTCTCATACTCCAGAAGGACACGCACACAGAAGGACACACACACACACAGAAGGACACACACACACACACACACAACAAGGACACACACACACACACACAAAGAAGGACACACACACACACACACACAGGGCCAAAATTCCTACAGCAGTTCCTAAACTACCTGATACTATCTTAAGTCTTCCTAGCCAAGTTCCCTAGGGGCAGACACTGTTTGGTACTGCTTTCTAAATTTTGCTGGCAGGAAAGGGCCCTGGAAGCTAGATTTAAATCACAGCTCAACCAATTACCAGCTGTGTGAACTAGTTCACGTACCACACCTCAATTTCCTCAATTATAAAATGAGAATATAGGGCGCCTAGGTGGCTTAGTCAGTTAAACATCTGCCTTTGGCTCAGGTCATGATCCCAGGGTCCTGGGATCGAGCCCCATGTCCGGCTCCCTGTTCAGAGGGGCATCTGCTTCTCCCTGTGCCCCCCTTGCCCCCGCTTGTGCTCAATTCTCTCTCTCTCAAATAAATAAATAAAATCTTTTAAAAAAATAAAATGAGAATAACACTTATAAGGTAGATATGAGGATTAAGCCAGAAAATGTTTCCAAAGCATTGAGTGCAATGCTTGGAAAACATATATAGGGTTTAATAAATGGTCGATTAGTTGAATTTTAAAAACTAAAAAATAACTACTCTGAAAAGGTGTAGGAACGAAATACATATTTCAATACTATGCAAATTATTTTAAACTGACTGTGATGTAGGATTAAAATAAATCTAGTGAGGAAAGAAGGGAGGAATAAACCTCACATTCTTACCAACCCATCTGTAGAAATGTTAAAATTAGAGCATTCTTATGACAGAGAATTGTCATGATAGTTGAACTAAACTGTGAGGGGAAAAAATGGTCAGGTTCTGTGTAATGTAACAATTCCTATGAGAGTAATTAAAATCTGAAGTTCTGTTTCTTTTTTTAGAAGTGATGTCTGCTTGAAATGAGCTCTAATGGTCCCTATTTACACACCGACTGCAGAGCGCCCATCCCGCTGCAGACATCTCTGTAATTAGCTCCATTCAAGAACAAAGCAGTGACCATCTTTCAGCTGCTTTCTGGCTTTTGAGCTTAGGAGGCAAAGGAGAGTTTTTGGCAGACTTGCAAAATGGAATTTAAATCTGCCACAAAGCCGTCAGTTGCAAGGGTGATAATTGCAGTTTGTTACAATTGATTTATACAGGCTCCAGGAAAGAATGATCGTCTGGCTAAAATTATCCAATGAATAACGGTAATATGTGAAATTTTCCCTCCTTGGAATTTTAATGGCTGTATTTAGAATAACGTGGTAATGTTGACCTATTTCTAATATGGTGAATAAACCAACTGATATTTGGGGGTGTCTCTTAATCATTCCCATAGACATCACCTTTTTGAAAATTCACTTTGATCTGCTTCACGTTTGGTATTCTGCACTTTTCAGATGAACTTTCAACGAAAACAGGTGATTAACTGAATTACACCTTGTAAAAGAATATAGGCAAAAGTTAAAATTGTGCTACTGGGCCCACAGAACTTTGAAGTGCCACCAAAATCTTTTACAAAGAGCCCATAGACTGAATTAGTGTCCTCTCTCCCCCCACAACACACACACACAGCACAGACACACACACATACACCCTTAGCTCAGAGGAAATGGAAAGTTTCCACTCAACTGTGTCATACGCAGATATCCTATTTTTCTTATTCCAGTCGATCTAGGAGTTTCTTTATGATTTGAATTTCACCCATCTACATTATTGTGATTGCTGATGTATTTGGAGTATCTCTGCTATTTTACTCTGAGTTTCTGTTTTCATACTTTTTCTTCTATTTCCTTTTTCTCCTTTCCTGCCTTCAGCTCTCTTTTCCCCTCCTGCTTTGTACCAGTTTGTGAACATTCTGGTTTTATTCTTTTAATGGTTACATTAAACATTTGAACACAAGGGCAAAATATAACTTTCAAAGAAAACAAGGAATTAGCTATGTTTATTTTCCCTCCTAGCCCCACCCATTGTTATTTTTCACATTATTATCTA